AAGTAGTCGACCAAAGTAAAGGTTTTCAGGTATTATCGACGCTGATTTGGGGATTATACCTTGAAAACCCATTGCAACCAGGGGCGGATGTAGGGGGGCGGAGAGGGGGGCAGCGAACGCTTCCCCCCTCAGGGATTCGACCCCCTGTCGACACAAAGGGTACCCCCATTGAATTATTATGAGATATCCAATTTTAGCCGACGAACCCGAAAATTTTTCTAAAGGCGCCTTTGGCGCCAATATATACTTATTTTAAGGGGGAGCGCGCGCCGAAAAAACGCGATTTTTTGGTTAAATTTTTCCATAAAGTGGCCTAAAGACGTTTTTAAAGTGGCCTAAAAACGTCTTTATGGCCTGTTTTTTTCCAAATTTTGCCTGCGGCGCAGAATATTTTGCCAAAACAGGGACTTTTTAGTGCTCAGGAGAGCTCGGAAAACCAATTTGGTGGACTTAAAAAAAGTAGACAAAACTTCGCGAAAATTTTTAAATTTTTTGAAAATCCGCCCCCCCCCCTCTCGAGAAAATCCTAGATCCGTCCATTATTGCAACCATATTTGTTGTCAGGTATCTTACACCAGAGTTATCTTTCACTCAACGCGCTTTTGACAGAGTTTGATGTTTTTTGATAACATTTGAATCTTTTTGCAAACTTTTTACAAAATTTTAGGTTTACCTACGGCCGACTACAGCTTATCAACCAGAGCAATATTTTTTTCGATACTTTACATGCTTACAACATATCTTGTAACATTATGATCAGTTTATAACTCAAGCATCTGAGACGTGCTTTTGGCTGCAGCCAAGGTAGAGTAAATATTCTTGCAAGCACACTGATAGGCCTTCACTAGCACTAGGAATTAGTTTTTCTACTAAATATTTTCATTGTACTTATTTCAAGCCTAAATTCGACATAACTTGCTGTGAGGCTGGCCTCCCAACTTTAAGTCTACCAGACTTTTAAAGATAAATGTTCATGTTCTTTGAATATAATTACCGCTCTATTTTTTATACTTAATGCAGTCGTTTCTTAGGTGCTCGACAAAAATTTATGTATACCAACCTGGAAACAGCAAAAAAAAGTAAAAAGTATTTGTTTACATCAATTATTCTTGTCTGTAAATATGAAAAGTAGCAAAAAGCGAAGGAAGTATAAGTCATACAGCGCGTAAAACTGAAACTAAACCTAGTTTTAATTTTTTAGTTCAAATTACTACTCAAGCTAAAAGGGAAATTTTAGGGGCATTTACTCAAAGTTATTTATCAGAAAGGAAAAACAAAGACTCAAAGGGGGCATAAAGTATGTTTTGAAGCAGTCAATTTTTTTACTACAGAACATAAGATCGCTTACAAAAAACTTTCATGAATTTTAAGCTTTCGTTCGTTGAGCAATTAAATCCAAAGCCAAAAACGATATGTTCAAAAAAAAAGAAGACGCAGAGAATGTACATATGTCAAAGAAAATGAGTAACCTTCGCCCAGACATTAAACAGTGACGGAGCGTAGAAAAAGTACCTTTTGACGAATGGTTGACGTCAGTTACCTTAACCCTACTCTTTTTTAACCGTCTTGACCTAGCCAGTTGTTTTTCTGGTCTGTTAAGGGCCAAGTACCTTGTTACCAATTGTAGGCAATCAGCCAAACGAAATTCGATCAGCTTTCGTTTACATGCAAAAATAACCACATAGCTGGATCTCGGATTCCCAGACAACGTGATTACTATTTAAAAAAATGTCTATAAAACCACAATTAGATATGCTTTTACGAACAGTTATATACTAAATACATTAGAGATGGATTAAATCTTTCCTCGACTCTAAATGCTCATGCTCTGAAATATTAAATTAATATTGGAGTAAAGTAAGTGCGTTCAGGGCGTTACAGCAGCTAAAATATGATTCAAGTTTTCTAACAGTCTCTCGGCACCGGGCCTCTTCCGGAGATAACGTCGTTGACTCTCTGATTTCGTTGCACGGGAGGGTTCGGATCCGTCCTGAATGCCCCACTGGATCTTCCGCTTCCACAATCTTCTTCTGTTGACAAGCACCTTGTTTTATTCTCGTGTTACAACAAGAGGCTCCGTTTATCTTCTATTTCTTTCTCTCTTTTATCGACTTTTCTCCGTCTTGTAATCGGCTGTTCTGTTTTTTTTTTGTTTTTTTTTTGGTCAAAATGGTCGTTTGGTCTCAGAAATTTTGGAGTCTAAATCAAAATTTTGAAAACCCAAAATTCTAGAACATTCTCAGCCTCCTTTTCACTGCAACTGCGTTAATAACGCCTCTAAGGTTGTTCTCGGCGTGCGTCGGAAGTTTCGACTGTGCCATCCGGGGGATTGGCACTATGTCAGTTTTGAGGTCAAAGCCAAAAGCGATATGTATAATCAAGAGCAATTGTCAGAGCCGAAAGCGATATGTTTTACAGCAACTTGGTTGAAGGAAAGTCAATTAATTAATCTATTTCAAAAACTTATGTAACAACCTTTAGTTGAATGAGCAAAAAAGAAACAGTGGTGACGGCGAAAGTAAATATTTCAGAGAAACATTAAGTACAAGACACTCAAAAATTTATATGATAACAAACTCCAATTTCTTATGATTCGAATTCTGACAAAAACTTTGCAAAAATCACACTTTTTGTGTGTACACAAATCACGAAACGCAAACAAAAGACAAGTTTCCTAAATATTTAAATAGTCTTTTGATTGACCCCAAACAAAACTTGTAGTATGTGTTGATTTGTACACAAACACATTGATCAAAATCAAGAGAAAAAGTGGACTGCAAAAATACACAAAGAAGGTAAAAAAAAACATATACTATTTCAGACCAATTTTTTATCATCAATTTTTTGAAGAGCTCATCTCTAACAGGGGTAAGGACAGTTTTGGACAAAGTTAATGCGTTTAATCAAAATCAAATCAGGTTTAGATCAAAATGTGGCACTATCGATAATTTTGTTACCCTGATTGCGGAAATTAGGTTTCTCTGGAAAGATCATCCCATGTTAACCCAAAGTATACTCATGGAGCTAAAACGTTAATTGTCAGTCACTTGGTTTTATGGGGCATTATTTCAATTTAATGAAAACGTAATCAGCAAACAGAAAACAAAATGTATAAATCTCGAGAAAAAATCAAAACTTGAAGGAATAAATTTTGGTGTCCCTCAGGGATCTCCTCTCGGGCCCACTTCTATTCATCTTTCAAATGAATGACAGAAAAAAAGCAATAGTACTCAACAAGGTAGTAACATATTAGTATATGCTGATGACTACTGTCACAACAACCCTGTTATCAAAAAGTTCGAAAGCAGATAATCAAAAAATCTAAAACGCAAATAATGTTTGGTTAGCAAGCAAAAAACTAACACTTAACACACAAAAACTAAGCTTATGGTTTTTGATATAAATAAACTGTTAAACTCTCTTAAGATACAACAATAAATGGACAGACATTAGAAGAACTCAAAATTTCAATTATCTTGGAATAGTTATAGATGAAATATAACACATCGAAAACCACAGAAGTTAATTAGAGATAAAAGAAGAGCTTAAAACTTTATGCAAAACAAAACGGAGTGAATACCAATCCAAAATTTTACAAAAAAGGAATTGCAGAAGAAGCAACAAAAATTTTCTAACTAAGAGAAAAATAACGAGAGCTGTAGCAATACACGCAAAATTTGCATCAAAGCACTCGGTTGCTGCTATAACTAGTGTCCTCCTCAACTCTTTGCTTTTTTGTTCCCTAAACTTACAGAAATAATTAAAAGTTTTCATAACAAGTAACTAAACAACTTCAACCATCAATTTTTAGATAATTATATTCAAGCTAATAGTGACCTGATAATTAAGCTGTTTTGTAGTTAAACTATATTCAATCTGAACTTACGTCCTTCATTAACTTTCGACAACATTTTTCAAAGAAGTTTTTGATTCTGGTCATTTTGATTCTGCTAACGATAAGACTTATCCCCTTTCATCTTTTGCGAGCACGTTTTTATTTCCCCTATCTACAAGGCTTTAATTCTCGCTCTGAGACGCCTGAAAACAGGATTAATCTAGTTTATGGCGCTTTTTCAAGACATGTTTTTGTAAAAGAATTTTTCTTTTGTAATCCGTTCTTGTAATGATTTCACTCCTGAACAAATTTTTTATGATTTTTTTCTAGAAAAAGTTAATAGGAAATTTAGACATCAAAAGTGCTAAAATTAATTTTTAATTGCTTTTCGATTTGCAAGAAAAGTTTTTAAATATTTAATTTTTTATCAATTCAAGTATCTTTATCATTTTGGAATTTTGTTGCTACTTGTACAGCAACCGGTATTCGTTGTTTGATTTTGTTTTGGACTTGGTCAGAGTCAGCTGAGTGCTACGTACGTTCAAACTGTGGTTGTGTTAATGCCATTGACGATAAGATTTAATATTATGTTTATTTTTGACAATTGAAAATTGCCAGGAGAGACTGGATGCAGCTTTGAAGACAGTTGGGCAATTAGCACAATAAACTTCTGAAAACTTAAGAAATCTGCTGTTTAAGAATGGTCAAAAAATGTACCGACTGATTATTCATGATGGGATTTTCGACTGGTTATGCCAGATAGCGCAATTGTCGTGAGCCGGTGCGGTTTTGAGGCTATAGCGCTCGTAAATGCTTAGTCGTATGCCCTTCTTGTTGTAATAGGCTGCAATGCTTACAGATTTTGAAAAAGAGGCACGCCTTGACAAAAAAAACGTGAAATATGAAGGGAAAGTTTTAAAAAATGCCACAACGCACTCTTTATCTTGAGAATTTTTCGAGAAAAATAGTGTTTTTTTTTGTATTATGAAACTGTCGAAGAAAAATATGATAATAATAATGTGAGAAAATTTTGTGGATCCGCGCCAAAGAATTTCACCAGATCCAAACACGTTGATGATGTTTCAAAATACTCATTCATTTGCAATTCACGCATGTTTGCTAGACAAATTGACAAAAGATTTCAGCTTGTTTTGCAAACCCTCTGCAATGCATGCCACCTAGTTCTATTCTCCTAGCGATATTTGCCACCTTGTTTATTCCAACATTTCGCTCTGCTTACATTATCAACAAATACCAAACCCACCAAACTGAACTAATTTTTCATTTCTCTTCATACGCTTAAAGCAATCGGGGTAACCTAGACACTCTTGTACCATTGCTTGATTCAGCCAGCGGAAATAATAATTCAGGCTCCAAGTTCCACCTTCCCAGAGTTTACTTCCTACGTGACTTGCCTTTGAATAGTGTTTTCCTTTCTCTCGGATCTGTTTCTATCACTGAAGTACAAGTGTGGGTATTTGAATAGCAATGGGTAACGTGATCTGGACAGTGATCTGGTTCATCCTCCTCCTCATCCTCTTCTGGCCCCTCGCCTTCTTCCTCTGCTTCTTCTACGTCATCTGTCTCCCATTCTCAGCATGCATAGGTCAGTCAGGTCCTGTTTCTTCTGTAGTTCTCTCCTTTCTTAAGGGGCATGGTTTTAGGGTAGGGGTTATAACCTCTACTACTATATCATGCACCATAACAAAACACAGAACCATTCGAACCCCTCGTGTTACAAGAGCTATCGTCGGATTTTTGTTCCAGTTGTTAAGAAAATGGTGGAAAATGTGTGCTCCGTGTTGGTGCTGTTAGACAATATTCGACTATGTAATGATTTAGTTTTGACGGAAATTTTTAATACCATCTAAATGGAATATCTTGAGTTCAAATTTTAAAAAAAAGATATAATTGAAAAAATATTTCTATAATCTTCAAATTCTTTGAACCTCAATTGAAAAAAAAATATTTCTATAATCTTCAAATTCTTTGAACCTCAAACCTCCAAAAACTTTATCATAGTTTTTTTGTTAGATAAAAGTAAAAAAAAATTGCATAAACTGGATCAAAGAGCAACTTTTTTAATCCACTGGGAAACCTGACATTTTATTTCTTTCAATTTGTCTGAAGCTGCTTTTAGTTCACTTTCGAAACTAAAAACACTATTTTTTGCGCTATTTCAAATTTTGTATTTGGATACCGTGATTTCCTTTCTTTAGAAAAGATTTACACATAGACGAAGATTTGCTTAGCACACACTAACACACTAGCCAGAACACGACAAAAAGCATCTCAATAAATAAAGTGCAATAAGAAAAAGTAGAAATAAGCCTCGAATTAGTAAAACTTTGGCTACACCTGGGCTTCGAACCTACTGCGACCTAAAAATTGAATGGTTAGTGCAAGAGTGGCACTGAGTGGTTAGTGCGAATCTCGCGCACTAACCACTTAGCCACGGACGCTTAATTGATACCTAACACTAGCCAAAAAAAAAGCAGAGAACAGATGCTAGGCAATTTACATTGCTACAGTGAAATTTCCATATGCACTTTTGCTTGCAAGTTAGGGTAGAAAAAAGGAAATTCGCACAAATACACTAGCTGCTCATTAGTGTAATAATTGAAATTCAAAAACAAACCGCAAACAAATCAAATTTAATTGTGCACAATTATTAAGACTTTTTTTCAGAAACAAAAAATTATTTCGACACACATAGTGTCTTCTCTAAATGACACTTTAAAACATAGCCAACTGACAGCTGTGAAAGAAAGATGAAAGCAAGGAAAGAGAATCAAGGTTACTGGTTTTCTGAAAAAATTAAACTTCCGCAACTTAAAGAAAAAATATATGCTCTTAAACCTCTTTGAATTTCACGAACATTTTATGAACCTTCTTTGATAACTTCAACCCAATTTGAGAAAACTGGATCGATAGGTGAAAAACTTAGAAGTCGATCTTGTTTTTCGTGACTTTGTTATTTCTGCTGTTCATGATGAAGTTTGCCTTCCTTTTACCAAAGGAAAGGGAGTAAACTGAAAAAATCAAATGTCAAACTCCATAAAATCAAAATTGAGCGAGAACAAGCACAAAAAAATCAAGAACTATATAAGAGTACTTACTACGTTCATTACTCTTAAAAACTGGGGTAAAAAATCTTCTAGTAATAAGGAAAACAAAATTGCGCTTGAGTATACAACACGCAGATTCGACGCAACCAATCTTTTGCATAGGCGTCCTCTGCGACTTGTACCACTTTCAATGACGAAACTCAGTAACTCTCCTTGAAATTTGTCTAACAGCAAACTAAATCATGATTTCAATTATCAAAACGCTATCACATGTTTTTCTGATAAGTAATTAAAACACACAGGGGCGGATCTAGGGTTTTCTCGAAGTGGGGGGGGGGGGGGGATTTTCAAAAAATTATCGAACATTTTGTCGACCTTTTTTTAGGTCAACCAAATTGATTTTCCCAGCTCTCCCTAAGCACGGTTTAGTCCCTGTTTTGGCCAAATTTTCTGCGCCGCAGAAAAATAGTCCAAAAAAGGCGTTTTTGAGAACTTTTTGAAAAATGTTGACCAAAAAATCGCTGAAAAAAATCGTTGACCAAAAAATGTTGACCAGAGTCGGTCGCTTAGGAAAATTCTAGTCAGTCGGCCAAAAATGGATTGCTTAAAAAGTACCAAAGGGGGGACGAAAAATAAAAAAATGTCTCGTTTTTGAATTTTAATATTGCCTGGCTGTGGAATTTCAAGGTACAAAAAAGTTTTAATGTCTAAGAGAGTTAAATGTTTTTTAGGCATTTAAAGGCAATCTAATTAACTCTGAAAAACATACCCAGACTTTTCTCTAACTTCGAATAGTAATTCCCCATGTGCTGAATCTAGTGGTTCAAAAAATCTGACATGTACTCAAAAATCTGACAAAATTTGACCTTTTCAGACAAGTCTGAAAAATCTGCCAGAGAGACCACACTGTACTAACGCATGACTACAACATGTGTATGATTACAACATTGTGTTTAAGGCGGTTGTGCGGACATATCCAACTTCCTCCACAAGGGCATTCTATTGTGTCAGAAGGCCACAGTTGCTATGGTACAGGGCAAGTCAGCATTGTAATTCATGCTGCATGTGAGCACCTTCAAGTTTGAAAGATGGCAGCTGATCTTTGACTGGATCCCTGACTTATATTATAGTCACGTATAATTTATTCTTTGAAAATTTAATGTAAATTACATACTGCAGTTTATCTTCGGTGTTTGTTACTTTTTTATCTAGCATGAATGATACCTTTTGCTTTTGATAGACTGACATAATTAACTTTTTTAAACTTCAAAATATATTTATCTCCAAATAAATTACAAATCAAACAAAAATTTCATAAAAGTTTTCATTTAACTTATATATTAATGGTGAAATATCTGGGAAATTCTGACGCGATTTGATAATCATCGGCGCGGCTGATAGAATCGCAAGCCCATCCCCTTTAAAATTGAATGACGGGAAGTTCATTTCTATGGATTCACACAAAAATGATCTTTTACATATCATATCGAGTTCGTTCTTTCTCGTGGGCGGAGTTTGGATCTGCTTCTTTGATGAGTTGGAAGTCAGAGTCTTTCAGTCCGTTTTTGAGCATTACGTACTCCAGTCTTTTCATGTACTCTTCCTTGTCGTGCATGAATGAGGGCACAATGAACACCTCAAGAAATACGAACTTATGATAACAGAAACGGAATGGACAAAATAAAAAAAATTACGAAATGCAACCACTCACGAAAATTAAAAACTTATGTTTGCGGCGAATTTTGAACATTTAAAACTTTTTCATGTTACGAACTGTGTTATGCTGACACTGAAAACATGTTTGCGGCGAATTTTGACCATTTAAAACTTTTTCATGTTACGAACTGTGTTATGCTGACACTGAAAAAATGTGTGCGGCGAAATTTAATTATTTGAGACTTATTCATGTTACGAACTTTGTTATGCTGACACTGACTTACAGTAGTTCAATGCAGAGAGAACTTACATTAATTTTGATATAATAATAAAGGGGTGAACAGCAAATTCTACCTGGTCCTTATTTGCTAGTTTCTTGAGTCTGTTCACATCTTCGAATGCTACTTTGCCTAACTGGATGAGTGCTTTGAAGTCTATCGCTTTCCTATGTTTGAGTATGCTGATTGCACCTGTCAGGTACACTTGATCCTTTACGAAGCAACCTACAAATTACAAGTCATTAGGAAAAAACAATTCGACAAAAAGCACACCATTGAAATTCGATTCAATCTGAAACCTTTGATTGTATTTTGCATCAAATATTATTCTGGTCATCCACTAGGAAACTTCGTTGGACGCTTTAAGGTTTTGCCTAAGCTTAGCTTTAAGAAACTATGATCTATATCATTAATCACGGGAGAACCTATAAATAAGTTTTTTTTTGGAAATCAGAGCCGAAAATAAGCTTCGCATACACAAGCAGAAGTGAAGAGAAACTGAAACGGGGAAATCCCTCATGCGCGAAGGACGTTGATTGGTTGAAATTTTTTTGCGCATTCGTTCCATTGCGCATGAGAATAGCCAGCAACTGAAGCGTCTATATAATGAAAGAATTTTGAAACTTGATTTCCGCTCCAGACGCTGAGTTAAAAAAAATACTCGCCTGGTTTAGAAGTATCCTGCTGCCCTCTTTTAGCCCGCATACAGAACTCCCACCTGCGATGTGGGTTTTTAATAAACGAACCCAGCCACTTGAACAGCTCACTAAATGACATCATAGAAGCCATCACTACGGTATAATAAAGCAGAGCTATCTTGAACAACATCGGCTGGGGTCTCATGATGACCGAATGGATACTGGCCAAACCCTCTTCTGTAGGGTTCATGGGCGACATACGGAACTTAGCTCGGTCAAGGTCGTTCTTCCAGGGTTGCAGGTTGTTGTTGAATCTGCGCATATAATGAGTGCCCAGTTCGTGTCTAAGGACTCCTGAAGTTAGAATCGGGTTTGAACATTGAAAAGAAAAAGACAACCGGACATGAAGGGTGATTATAGATTAACATTGACAAAGATGTACCTGCGACAATCGAAATCGAAGAAACAGTATCTTTGATTGAACTAGAAACTGGGATCAATCATACAATTCGACCCCCATTCCCCCCCCCCCCCCACACACACACACACCATCGGTTTAAGGAAAAGAAAATACGGATTTTCCATAAGCTAAGTTTGAGTATAGTTTAGATTCGTTCAAAATGAACCGTATTACTAATCAAAAATGAATTAAAACATTAATTTGTACAATTACCAGCATAATAAAAAAATATAGAAGTCAGTCTTAATTGCACGTTTGTATGAATTGCATATGTTATACAGAATAACTTTTTTTGAAATTAATACATGCTTGGGGAGGGCATTGTACTGTAAGTCACTTACGGTGAGGGATTATACGGTTGACCCAAAAACTGATATCAAACCTATATCACTGTTCTTTTTTGAATTATATTAAACCAGAAACGGGGGGAAATTAGAAAATACAATGTTCAAAATTTGTATCGCACAGATTTATGTTATCAAACATTTATTGCAGCCTACTTGCTTCTGTCTTTTCATTATGTTGGCTACGTCTTAAGTCTACTCTCTAATGAAAAAGCCGAGCTGACTGAGGTTATGAGTCAGACTCCATAGTCCATGTTCGATGCCTTCTCTCGTGTTGGTAAGAGAAATTTTTTCGCCGCGCATACATTTAGAGCCGTAATCGTCGAAAAGAAGTACAATCTAGCAAGGTATGAAGGCAGTCCAAGATGTGTCTCCATTGGTTGATGACATGTTCGGGATGTTGTTGTGCCGAGAAATTTTAGATTTTTTCTTCCATCAAAACTGTCGTTTCTATCGAAATCTCCAAAATTGCAAGGAAGGGCCTTCGGTGACCCATTTTACACCTTCAGTCGGATCTGGCTGTAGAATCAGTACCACATGGGCTCGGTTTGTCTAAAATAATATTTTGCTTGATACGTATGGGATCACCAAGCATAGTAGCAAACTGTCGTCAACAACCGTGATGTCGCGAAGCAGCTTTGTATCTTCATAAGAGTGCACATCGCTTGGTAAAATTGCTAATCTCAGGCGATGGCCCTCTCTTTTCTGACTTCTATACACTGCATCGGTTAATGCCAACAAACATTTTTGAGGCACGAGAAAGTGTAGTCTCTGGTCTAGGAGCGAGGAAATTTGATATATTTGTTTTGAACGCACCCAGAGCAGACTTCTAGCTCATTGTGTGCATGGATGACAACGAAGTGACGCAGCAGTGGCGCCATTGAAATTGAGTAGTAAATTTGCGAATAAAGTTTATGTGCAGACTCTGAGTCAATGAAAGTTACTATGTACTGCCTCAAACTGGGCATGAATAATGTTCTAGAGTTTCAATTTTCTGTTGTTACGCCAATTTGTTTTCAGCTAGTTTAAAAGATATGGCAAATGACTTCATTTTAATGACAACTCGATTTCAGAGACTAAGTCTGTGATTGCCGTTGAATACTCTTCTAGCAATTCGATGTTGTAAGCATTGGAACATGCTCGGTGTTGGCAGAAGCCAAAAACCCCCATCATCCCGCAGCTTTCCGAATCTCCCATGACGGCTCCAGAGCCGAAACCGCTAATGCCAGAAAACACCGCTCCGGCTACAAATCAAGCTCTCCTGCCGGTACGATCTGTTTCAATTAAAAGTTCCATCCTTGATCTGAATGATTTCTTTTTTCGCTGACTGTACTTTTTGTAAAAATTTTTTTATCAGCCAGTCGATGTTGAATGGATCGGTGATCTTATTGAAAATCATCGAAAACCAATTAAAAATTCGATGGATGGTGTCCTTTTTGCTCTGAAAATTTGTCGAGAACTGATTCATCTCAGCTTTCATTGTGAAATTGTTCGTCGGAAATAGCAGGACACTGATGGTTTAGAGAAGTTCAATTAAAAACGAAATGTAGGCCAGCTCGGTTTTCTCCTAGTTTCTTGAAGTGGTCAAGATTTTTTAACAAAAATTGTTTATTTAATGGTATTCACTTAGTGATCGGTAAACAAACTGACCATCAGAAATTCCTCGTAACCTGAGCTTCAATGGTCTGATTTTTACTTCTGAAATGGTGTTTTGCCTAAGTTTATACTGTTTTTTGCCGGCAAACATTCCATATAAGTGAGGTTTTTGTCGTATTTGCCTACAAAAAATTAGAGAAAACAGAAATTGTAACAATGATGGAACAACAAAGATAACACAATAACTTGAAAAGCGATCTGTTATTGACAACTTTTCACGTTGTCAGTTTACACTCATTTTACTGTCTTTCAATTAACAAATTGTTTTACCCTCGATTGTTCCCGTGTAAATATTGCCCAATTTGAGACTCAGCACCCCGTAATTATTCATTTTGCCCATAGATGCAGTGCTTAGCAAGTCAGTGGATATGTTGATCATGATGTCGTGGGGTCGGATACCCTCGCGTGAACAGTAGGTGTCCACGTAGGATAGGATCTCATATCTGCTCATCTGCTCTCCTAGACTCTGCTGGTCGAAGTTATCGTAGCTTCCGTAGCTTTTCAGCAGGTGCGTGAGGATCTTCTCACCCTATGATAAATGAATTTGTAAAATGTTTGTATGAGACCGTTCTATATGTTATATTAGTTAATCCAGCAAGCCATACGTCATTTTTACCAGCGGCGTATCTCGGATTTTCGCGAGCGGAGTGGGGCGGATTTTCATTAAAAAATTCGCAGGCAAAATTTTGAAAAAAAAACAGGCAAAAAGGCGTTTTTAGGCCTTTCGTGAAAAAATTAGTAAATAGTTAGAAAAATTTTAGGGTCTGTCAGCCAAAAATGGATATCTCTAATTAGTATAAAGGGGGCCCTTTGGGTCGGCAGAGGGTCGAATCCCTGAGGGGGATGGGCATCCCCTTAAATCCGCTGGTAATTGTTATCATACCATTTGTTCAGACACAGTTCTTAAAACCAACAAAAGCATTTTTTCTTGCTTCGCTAGACCATTGATTTATGTCAAGTTTATTATGATTTAAAAACATATCAACGACAGCAAAGTAAAAACTTTCTTTTTCAATTTGAAAATTGAAACGATTTATGGGACGACACTGTTTTGTTTATACTTACTATTTCGATATACTTAGTGCATGGCTCAGAGTACTTATCCAGCACTTCGGGGGGACATGGGTGGGCGTATGTGAACTGGGGCTCATAGGTGAAGTCACTGTTGAAGAAGCGCACTCTCTCTTCGCTTACGTTGGATGGCTGCACTGCATGGATGACATTGATGCGCAGCTGACACGGAAAACAGAAAGTAGCTTAGCTTGAGGAGTTTCAATTTTATTTGGCACTATTGGAACCTGATCTAAACTACATTTTATGATTGGATAAATTAAATGTTTTACCAATGTAAAGTATTTAATATTAACCAATCATGATCCATCAAACTAACAACCCACTTATTTGTAAGTGCTGAAGTTACTTGTAATTTCAGCACCAGAGAGATTTGAATTTAACTTAGAAATTAGTTGGACTCTCCCGAGCACTTCAGCAACCGCAATAAACCAGTATACCCTAGATCTATTGAGCCTAGCAGAGACTAGTTAAACAACCTGAGACTAGATAGTATAAGAGTAAGATTAGGATCGGTATTAGACTAAGAAGTTGCACGAATCTATCCGGCCGAAAATAAGATAGCGTGACGAGCAGACGGTGTACCCTATCCGAAATTACTCTATGAGTTAACCACATCGGTCCTAACTCATCTGGTGCGACCATAAGTCTCGAACAAGACCTTAATAGCTTAGAATTAACCAAAATAGATTAGAAATTAGACAAAAACATTTAAAAAATGTTATACGACAATAATTTAATCGAAATGTCTCTACGACTCAATAGATCAGAGCCAATATTCCGAACCATAACAGAACTACCCGGAATTGGAAGAAGACCTCGAACCAAAGACGACATACGACAAAGTAGAAACTTGCCGTATAGTTATATGATAGTTCGGCAAAAGCCAGAACAAACTTTTATATTTCGAATACTACTTGCAATGAATTTAGATTTTCATTTGCAAACATAAAACCTTGAAGTTAATCTTCAAAATCATTTCAGGCGCTAAACAAAATTATTAATATACAATAACGATTGATAAAAAGATCTAAGATCGTTTTCCTAAAACTCTGCAGTAATATACAAAACATGTTTGAAAAATATTTATTGGAAAATAAAAATAAAAATTAGTAGCATGACAATAAATGGTTAATAATCATAAATCATCCTGTTGTTCCAGCTCCATCACCTAAAACATAACAGCAATCATAAATCCACTAATATCATCAAAACACTAAATCTTTCCTTTACACAAATTTAAAAATTTATTAAAACTTAAATTCACTTAATTTTAAAACCAGATCATCAAGGCTTATCCTTGGATCTTAAATCATTTTCTACTTAATTAAATTTCAAATTTGATCATCAAGGCTTATCCTTGGATCAAACAGAACAACTTTGTTCTCCCCCACCCACTTAATTAGTGTCTAACGACCTCAAACGTCGATTCACTACCCAACCCTTTCTAAAGACCTAAGACTAATAGAAATTTTTAAACAAAACTAATCATTCAAATTAGGATAAACAGTGAAGAACTTCGGTTATTCATCCTTCACTTGACCCCCCCCCCTCTTAACAGACCCAGGATAAATCTTAGACTTAGTAAGTTTAAAATAGTATCTAACGAACTACTCGCGTTCTAATTATACCTGAACCTTGTGGATCGATTTACTATTCTCCAACCCTTGAACACAATCACTACCCCTAAGTAAGATTAAGTAAGTTAACACCTTAACTTATACTAGCCACGAGAAAGTAAAGAATCATTCTTCGGAATCGATATACTTTTCTCTCCAACCCTGAACAAACAGACCCAGGTTAAGCTAACCAAAAAATCGTAAGAACTAACAGTTTAGGAAAATAGAAATCATTTAACAACCTTTTGCATCCGTCATCCTAAACCTTATGTCATTTAAAAACCTAGGAAATAAACAAACAATCGTTTTACACAATTGTGAAATAGAAAACAAAAAATACGACCTTGTAATCACACCTCATACACAAACAGTTGGATACATTCGAACAAAACGACAAACACTAAAGAGAAAAATAATAACTAAACAAAGACAAATAACACGAAAAAGATTTTCAAAAAATCGAAACGCATTTTCAGAATCAGAAACCAACAGTTTAGACGAACTTTACAAACTAAAAGAATCAATAGACAAAAATTGCCCAATTCACGATCAATTATATTTCTCTGACTCAGAAACAACTTCAAATTCATCACAAAGAGGAAAAAGAAGAATAAAAAAGCAGTACAAACACAAACCAGTACATTTATACAATTGGAATCAACCAATTCGACACATTAATAATTACATATTAACAGTCATCGAACGAAAAAATGAGCTCAACGCACACTCCAGGTGAAGAAACTCCAGATGATGATGAAATCTTTCCTTTTATAGTAGACGCAGATACTGATAGAGGACAACACATATTTTGTCAAAATTTACTCGTAAATTTATTTGAACCCGGAATCAGTCCATGTAAAACAGAGTTCCCAGATGTAAAAATCAAACGACAAATCATAGACCACTACTTAAAAGATATATGCAACATAACACAACAGTATGGAATCTACTCCATAGAATTCACCTCACCAAACCATAATAATAGAAAATATACAATTCAAACAGACGATCTTGATTTAGAATTTTCAAAAGTTTTTTCAGAATATATAAAAAGCATCCAATATCATAACTCACAAAGAGCAAACTCCATATTCACCAATGAAGTTTTCGCAATAATATATAGTTATATTTCGATATTAGAAAACGAAATCCCAATAACAAATGTCTCACCGACAGAAACATCTAAACATTTAAGAGTACGACATGAAATCACACTACTCTCTAGTTATTTAAACATCATTAAAGAAAATTTCACGAAAGACGACGTTTCACAACATACAAAACACGATCTACAAAAAATTTTGGCATGGTTCATAATAGATTATTTCACACACAATATTGATTTAATTGCACAAGCAAGAAAAAATTTTAGACCCCAAAACTCGAACGATGATACCGCTATCACAGAACAATCAGATTATGTTTGGGACCCCGAATGGTCTCATCCCGCATTTATAAGCTTCCCACAATCAATCTCAAGTCAAGCAATAAGTACGATATCTTACATAAGAGATTATGTAAAAGTAATACCATTAACCATTGATGCAACACCATTAAACTATAATACATTTTTGCCCGATACACAAAATAATAGTTTAAACTCTACAGTTATACACAATGAAAACCTCAATGGAACTAGGAATCTTACTCAACAAGATATCCAGACACCATCACACTTCATAAATGAAGAAATTGTACACACAACAACTACACAACAAAGTATTTCACCAATACGCCCAAATTTAACAACACCAAGAAATACAAATCCTTCACAAACACAGGTAACCTTACAATCAACCGTTAAACCTTCGGTTGCCCCTAAATATTCACATATGGATTACCAAACATACAGACCCATGACAATACCATCAAAAACACGCAAAACATTCACTAGAAACAACTTTGCAGACCATAATTATAATTATACACATCCATCAAAAACATATAATCAACCACAAAGAAATTTTAACCAATATACAAGATCTCGAAATTGGGATAACCCAATGACCCAACCTAATTCAATAAATTTCCAAACAAATCCTCCACAGGATCACAGTGAAAATTACCCATTTTTTCAACAAAATAAAAATAAAAAACAGACATCTTATCAAATGGATTATTTATCCTCAGATGATGATTTCTTACAACCAGATATATTTGCACAAAATACTCAAGAATATCGTAGACAAGGAATACAGAAAACACGTACAAATCATAGAAATTTTTCTCCACAACCAATAGATGCACAACATCAACAACCAATTCAACAACAAAATCTAATTAATACACAATCTTTTCAACCAATTCAACAACAAAATCCAATGACTGCACACTCGTATCAAGCATCACAAATGCAAAATGAAATACCACTCCCCTATTATCTCCAACAACATGAAATAACAAGAAACCAACTTTCAAATTTTTCTCAAATGCCAAATGCAGCAGAATCATTACAAATGACAATGAATCCATACCTTATGGGTGGATCATCAATAACATCAAACAAACCTTTAATGGTTTTCACAGGAACAGACCCTGAATATTCTGTAGAAGATTATTTAAATGCAGTAACAGCAAACCTGATTTTAAATATTGGACCTGAACCAATTAATACGCCACTACATCAAAATTGGATACATCGACGCACAGCGTTAATACAAACAACCTTAGATGGCGCAGCCCAAAAATGGTTTTCAGTACTACCTCTAGAAATAAAATCAAACTGGAAAAGGTTTACACAGGAATTTTCAAAAATGTTTGACTCCAAAAGAAACAAACAACAACAAAGAGTTTTATGTAATGAAATTCGCAGATTACCAAACGAAACCATCAAGCAAATAGCAGTACGAATCGAAACACTAGTTCGAAAAGCATATTCATTAAATACACATGACTATAAAAACACAAAGATGACAGAAATCTTAATGATGACCTTAACACCACAATTAAGGAAAATAGCAATAAAAAAGAGAGCATCCCATCCTTCTTCAATTCGCGAACCCGATTTAGATTTTCGAAAACTAGTAGACAAATTAGAACAAGCAGAAATCACGATGAAACTAGAAGAAACGGAAAATCTGAAATTACAATACGTTAACAGAATTGAAACGACTCCCACTAATATTAATAATATACAGGAATCAGAGACAGACCTCGTTGAAAAAATCACTGAAATACTCAATATTTACGAAAAGAACCCAAACTTTAAAGGCAAACCATCTTTCAAAAAATGGTGTAATTATTGCCGACGATACGGACATAGTATTTCCGAATGTAGACAAAAACAGCAAGACAATCAAAATAAACCTCAAAAATATAAAGAACCAAATAAATCATTCTATCAATACATGAAAAAAGATCAAAATCTACCGAACAAAACAGTCCACAGCAACAACAGTTCAGGAAAACCACTCCCGAACAATACAAATTATACAAGAAATCAATCACCATATAACTCAAGTTATAGAGGAAGATCACCAGAACGAAGAAACACGAATAATTCATCACAAAATCACTACAATAGACCAAATAGTCGAAATAACT